GAAACAGAGGCCCATGGGCAAGCATCTTGTCCAGGATCATGCAGGTGGTTAGTGCCAGAGCCTGGACTTTCAGCCCAAGGTGAGAGCTGGGTCCGGCTGGGACGCCTGCTTGGCATAGGGACACGGACCTGACACTTAAGCACTCTGGCCTCAGTTTCTCCACCTGTTCAATGGGGATGAGACCGGCAGGTCTCTCCTGGGCAGTGGTGAGGATTCAGGACTATGACGCAGGTTACACTGTAGATGGTGTGATCATCATTGAAATGATGCTGATTAAACCCCGCCTGTCAGCACTGACCTAGGGGCTGGGCTGTCCTGTGTTCTCTTTCTACCACACGCTGCTGTTCACCACGGAGATAAGAGCTAGACGATTCTAAGAGAATTCAGGCCAAGTCCCTCATTTTACAGATGGGAAAACTGAGGCTGCCGCAGCAGATCTCGAGCTTGAACCTGAGCCTCCCGACTCCCAGAAGGCTTGGGCTGTGAGGAGGGGCAGGGGTCCAGGTACTCACGGCCCCGACTCCACTTGGATGGAGCCCACCTTGTCCAGCAGGCTGTCGGTCAGGTTGGGGCACTCGGCCGAGAGCTCGCACCGCTTGCCCTGGAAGTTCTCCATTTCATACACGGTCACCTGGAAGGGCAGCATCCTGTGTGTCACAGTGGGTTTCCCAGCCCCAGCCCCTGCCCTGCCCTGTCCCCTGTGGGGCAAGAAGGGAGGTACAATCACTGGCTCCAACAGCTCAGTCTTGTACCAGCCTGGAGCCAGCACCGCCGCAGGCTTGCACTGCCCCCTGGTGTTCGTGGAGGGGACTGCTGCAAGGAACCTTAAACCCGGATTGTCCCTTTGGAGGAGCCAGCCTGGAACCTAATGGAGTGAAATGACCCCAGGAAGGCACAGGAGGGAAACGAAGCCACTTGCAACCAGGAGAGAATGTAGATCCTGTTCTAAACTTTGTAATCAAGGCCAGAAATCTATATTTTCCTTAATGTAAAACATCCCATTTTTACAAAGCCCGTGCAGGATGGACGAATCACCAGCTTGCAACCTCTGGGCTGGCCTCCGCCTGCCCCAGGCCTGGGGGGTGGAGTGGGGCTTGAAGGGGCTGCAAAGGCAAAGGGAGGCGCCTCCTGTCCCCTCCTGGAAGCACAGACTGTCTCTGTAGGAGGCCCTTGAGGGGCGCCTGCTCTGAAAGGGTGGGTCACTTGTCTGGGTTCGTTGAGTCAGCAGCTCCTGTGGCCCGTGCACTGGAGTCCAACAGGAGGCAGGGAGGCCCAGAGGGGCACCCACCTTCCCACTGGGCAGCTGCCTCCAGCGGTGTGCCAAGGCCCCCAGAGGCCGTTAAATGACATGGCACCCCTCTCCCCGAGGGGGAGACTGGGGGCCTGCAGGGCGAGGCCAACTGACCTCACCCGTGGGTCGGCCCAGAGCCAGGCAGGCCTCTCTGTGGCTCTGCTCCTGCCGTCTCCCCCAGTCTGGTTAAAGTCCCCCCCTGTCCCCAGGTATCTCTGGGACAGCCCATCCTTGCGAAGTCTGCGATTAGTGCCCCCAGGGACAGCTTAGAGAGGGCAGAGCTGACAAATCCCAACCCTCGTGGCTGGCACTGCCGATGCTGCTTGCACTGAGCACACGTCAGATCTGGGGCTAAGGAGCATGGGCATTGCTCCCGAGTTAAAGATGGGGCAGTTGAGGCCCAGAGAGGGCTGGGGATGGGACCGGGGTCCACAGGGAGTTGGTGCCGGGACCCCTGAAGCCACCTCTGTGCCCAGGGAGAGTGTGTGTGAAACAAGTTCATGGCCGAGAGGTGAGGTGTCCTCCTGGCCCTGTTGGCTCCTTTCTGGAGTGAAGCTGACCCCGAGGTCTAGGAGCAGCCCCGGGCCCAGAGCCCACAGGTCCTTCCTTACCTTGTAGCTTCCCCCAAGGCCTCCATGGCTCTTGCCAGCGGCAGCCCGCTCCGGCGCTCCGTGCTGCTCTGCCATCCCCCTGGAAACCCCTCCAGCTTCAACCAAAGGAGAAGAGTGAGCAGGTCTTTTTGAGGATGAGCTACAGAACCTTGCTGCTTATGGGACGTGGTCATTGCTCACGGACTGCATTCCAGCTTCCAGTCACTCAGCAAACACCCACTGAACACCACCCATGAGCCCACCATGGGTCAGTAGGACCAGAATTTTGTAGACAGCAACCCCCGAATCCCAGCTAGGTGAGGTCAGTTCCCTGAGGCTGCGGTTGGGCCTGGCTCTGAAGCTCACACCTTCACCCATACCCAACCGCTCCACCAAACCAGGGTTCTCGGGGCTCTGTGCAGACATTGCCTCTGGACCTGGTCGGAGGGCAGGCTTCAGGGGTTGCTCTGCAGGAATCTCTCCCACCCCCACCCCCCAGGCTGCAGTCCTTTGTCCACTCATTGCTCTGTTCACCAGCTTCCGCAAGCTCCTGCTCATGGCCTGGCCCTGGGCTGGGTGACTGGGAAAAAAAGGAGGTCACAGGCTGGTGGGAGAGGGACAGACAGATATCCTGAGAAAGCCTGATGCAGGACCAGGTCCTGGGACCCCTGCTCCAGCCCAGGTTCCATTCATTTGCTCATTCATTCTGCATGTACTTTCAATGCAAGAAAGAGACATGGCTCCCCTCACCCCTATGGGGACTGGAACACACAGCCCAGGCCGGCCACAGTCAAGTGGGCGGGTTCTCCTGTCGCACACACACACACACAGACACACGGGACTGCACTCCGGTTTATCGGCACAGGTACCCACACACATACAGGCTCCCACGGTCACAGTGCACAGTCACTTCTCACTTGCTGCAGGATGGCTGCCTCTGTCTGTCTGTCTCTCTGACACACACGCCCATCTCAGACATCCACAGTGCCCTTCAGGCACCCATTTGTACACCCTGCACCCAGCTGCACACAGCTGTGTGGCCCATACAGGCCTGAGGGTGCATGGCCTGCTGGCTGGCTGCCTGGCCCGTGCCCGGTCTGGCAGGAACCAGGGTCTGGTCTGGCTCAGGGAAGAGTCTCAGGAGACATGGCAGCTCCCAGACATGCCCACTCACCTCCCTCATCTTTGCAGGCTCCCCATCCCGAGCACACGCCCAAGGGCTCAACCCTGGCTACCACCCTCTGACAACAGCAGGGCTTGGTGGCTGTCTCAGGTCCTCCCTCTCGGCTCACACCAGCTGGACCCCCAGTTCGGGCACAGGCCAGCTCTGCAGGCCTCAGGGGGCCACCCCAGGTCTGGGCCTGCTAGGGCAGCTCTTGCCTCCCCGCCCTGCCCCACATGCCCCAGAACGAACCTGCTGCTGTTGTCCCGGGAAGAACAGAGAAGCCAGCACCGCCTGCAGACAATCCCCCTTTGCAAGGAGCGTCCTATTTATGGGTGATTTCCGACAGCCCAGCACATCCCGGCCTGCTGAGGCAGCAGCCTGTCCACCCGATTCCACTCGGGCTATTTCACTCCAATGACGGGCCCAGGGAGGCCCCAGGGCCTGTGCGCCCTCAGCCATGGCCTCTGACCACGTCCCGGGGGCAGGCGGACCTCATCGGCCTTGTGGGAAGCCCGCTGGCGCCAGGAACCAGCATGAGGGTGGGGGCGGGAAATTCCCCAGTGACCACCCCCACCCCTTTCTTTGGCTTCTTGGCGCCACCATGTTCCTACTGAGGTGTCTGGCACCCTTGGAAAGGCTCCGGTTCTTGGAGCAAGGGACTCCAAACCCCTCAATTCTTCCATGTGCTCTCTGCCTAAACTGTAAGTCAAGTTCACCCTAAACTGAACGTCCAAAGTGGGTCTAACTCCATCCAACCATTTCCGTGGGATGCTGTACCAGACCCACCCGAGATGGGTTTTTTCCATATAAAAGGCATGTACAAATGACAGCTACCGTTTATTGAAGACCTACTGTGTGTGGGCCCCTGTGCCAGCTTCGCAAGCATTATGTTTATTCTCCAGTCAGCCCTCTTTAGGGGAGGGATCACGACCCTGTGTCGTCACAGGTGGTTTGGAAGCTGCATTCCGAGAGGGGAAGCCGCTTCCCCGGGCACACAGCAACAGGGCTGATGGCTCCGGGTGATCACGACTGCCCTGAGGAAGTAGAGCCACGCATTTAAGTGCCTACCAGTGCCAGCTGGCCCGTGACAGGCGTTTAATACTGATTAATGCGTGAACAAACTGAGGGACAGGAAGTAACTGTTAAGCCCCAGGGTTTTTTGTTGCTATTTTTGGCGAAAATCCTCAACTCTGCATAAAACCCGTCACCTCACACCTCTGAGATGTTGCTATGACGCTGGGTGACAGGTGGATCTGTGTGGCCTTGGGTGGGTCATGGAGGACTCAGACCATGGATGGTCACCTCTTTGGGAAACAGCCATCTCTCTACTCAGGTCATGGACGGGTCACGAAAGCAAAGCTCTCTGAGCACAGCCGATCACTTTCCTACTTTTGTTTATGGAGCATTTGCCTGTCATGGACAGTTCGGACCGAGGGGGGCCTTCCTGGGGGGTGTGTCGTGGGGGGCAGAGTTGGCTTCGACCCCTTAACTTGGGAGGCAGCCACCACCCGGTGTGGACACAAAGGGGGAGACAGAGGTGGGGACGGCCTGTGGGAGAACGTGACTCCCTCCCTTCAGATCCTCTAGCATCGTGAGGACCTACTATGCGCCCAGCACTGCCAGGTGCCAGATTTCCTTCACCCAGGGTTCCCAACCTTGGCACTGCTGCCGCCCGGGCCAGCTCACCCTGTGCATCATGGGATGTTGAACAGCATTCCTTGCCCTCCTTGTGGCAACAAAGTGTCTCCTGTCATTGCCAGATGTCCTCTGGGAAGTGCCATCAATCTCAACTCCACGCTGAGTGGGAAGCCTGCTCTGTGCCCACGGTCCCCTCTCCCGGGACCTCAACCACCCCCTCCCACTGCCTGGCGCCCAGCTCAGCCCAGACCAGAGGCCGACCTAGTGGGGGACGGCAGCTTGCATGAGAGAGGCCATTCACTTGCACGCCAGCGTCTCCAACGCAACTTGCATCAAAGCTTTATTTGCTATTTCCATAGTGCGAACGCAACATCTCTGTACATGCAGAGGTCATCTGGTTTCGTGGCAGTTGAGGAGGTCCCCAACTGCTCTCGATGTGCACGTGAAACCTCTTTGCAGTTACAAAATATAAAAGCACTTGTCGACGCCCGATACTCTCTGAGGTCCAGGGAGCCCCGTGGTTTCAACATTAAAAATATAGGCATTTTTCTAGGTGAAGCCTCAGTCATGCGACTCCAGCTTCTCTCTGGGGTTGGATAAAGTGCCTCCGGCCTGCCCTCCGTGCCCAAGTGCCAGGGCTCGGGCTTTCTCGGGCAACCGCACGAGTCCCAGCAGGCAGGAGGCTGAACTGCCCTGCGCACAGCCTCTGGTCCCTTCTCTGTCGTGAGTCCGTACCCGACGAAGGGACCCAGCAGGAAGGCCAGGAGAATACATAGTGAATGCAGAGATATTCCCACTCCCTGTCTTACAAAGCATTTCAGGGATCAAAATCACGGAGGAAGTGCACGGCTTGCAGAATATTGGTGTGACTGAGGGCACAGCACAGTACGAAATACCTCCCAGAACACAGCACATTACTTCTGTGAGCCCCCGATTTACAGGATCTGTAAGGCCATGTGGAATAAGATCATCAGAAAGCTGAAATTCTTCTTGGACAATGGCGTATCTCTGAGCGGGTGTGGCGCCACCAGGGACAGTCAGAAAAGGGCCTGTCTGACTCGTGGAAGACTTCGCGGCACCAGCGAGAGGGCAGCTACTGCAGGAGAGGCTGGGGGGGGGGGTGCGGGGCGGGGCTCAGAGGACGCCTTGCCAGAAACCTCAGGCCGACTTTCCGGAACCTGGCTTTTCTGTCCCGCTCCCTGCAGGGACCAACCCAGGCAAAAGCAAGACACCTTGAGAGGGGAAGAGGGGGCGAAGGGAGATGGGCACACAGACTGGCCAGGGGCGTGCACACTCATTCCAAAGGGCTCCGTCCCCAGAACCTCGATGGCTGGGGACCCCAACAAGGAGGTTCCTTGCGGCTTCTCAGCACTGAGTTCAGGATGCACAGCTCCCTACGGGAGTGGGGCCCCAGGTGGAGCCCCTGCCAGGAGTCCAGTGGGTCCTGCCCACAACACATGGCTCCTACCTAATTGTTATCCCTCCGACCCCTGGCACTGTGATGCCCCTTGGCTGTTTGCTTCGCCAATTTAACACATGGAGGAGGAGGAAAGGCATAGTCAGAGGGACAGCGGTTCCTCCCTTACTGAAGTGACTGGCCATGGCTTCACTGTGGGGGGGGAGTATTTCCCACTAGAGAGCGCTTTTCTCTCGCCTCCCCACCGGCTCCCCTGGAAATGACAGTTCACACACACTGACAGTCATCTAGCTGCCTGTGTTAGGGGGCAGGGCTTTGTGGGAGGGGCCACAGGGAGGGAGATGCAGAGACTGGTGAGGGCGGGGCAGGCTGGAGCGCCCTTTCCTTGGGTGGACGTTGTCTTCCACGCAGGCCGGAGACCCGAAGGGAGCGTTCAGTGCAGGTGACCCAAGCGCACACCCGTGGACTTTGGGCTTTGCGATGACACCCAGCTCCTGGGGAAACCCTGCCGCCGTGATGGAAAGAGTGAACGTGTGTGTGGGCAGGGCAGCTACCAGCAGCCGGCGGGCGTGGCTGAGGTCTCTCCTTTTCAGGGAGTCACGCCAAGGGGGTTCGAAATCCTTTGCACAGCCTGTCAGGTTTAGGGTCTCAGGCTGATGCCCAGAGCTGGCCTCACTTCCCGGGATGCACAAGAGAAAACGCATTTGTCCCAAAGCGCATGACTCGGCTTGTCCCGCTGGACAACACCCCCAACTGTCTTTCCCCCAAGTCCTTGACAACCTGAGGCTGGCAGGTCACCACCCAAACACCGGGAGGCTCGTCCTGCCCCAGAAGTTCTCTGGGGCACCGGGCAGTCCTCTGCAAAACTGCTTCCTGAGGCCTTGCCAGGGGGGTTCACAGGCCAGAGGCCTCTGTTTCCTTGGGCAAGAGACCACCAAGGGGATCTACTGGAGGGGAAAAGATACAGGCTTATCAGAAGATCCTCTGTCAAAACGCTGATGTGCCCAGGGTGTGTGTGAGCAGGTGGAGGGAGGGGGAGAGAGACAGAGATGGGGTGGGGGGTGAGCAGAGACCATACGACTACCACCATGTGCTTTCTGTGTAAGACTCTCATTGGAGGAGAGCCAAAGGCCCAGAGGAGGCAGGTCAGAGAACAGGGGACTTGATTGCATATGGATGATTAAGGCATATTAAGTTCGTTTAAAAGGAGACAGGTTTCCAAAGATGACTCCGGGCTAACTCGAGAAACTAGCATGCAAACCCGTGCTTTGCCCCGAAGAGCTCGCCCAGTTTCAGAAGGGGAGAAGCCCATGCCCCTGGCCCAGCCCTCTGCAAAAGCTCTGGGAACCGTCCCTCGTGACCGCACCCCACTGGGCTGGTGGGGAACCCGCAGGGGGAGGGCCGCCCCTACCCGCTGTGGTCATCTGCCCTGGGGTGGGGAGGTGAGGCTGCCGGAGGTGAAGGAAAGCAAGGAGGATGTTCAGGGCTTGCTCTAGTCAGTGTAAAGGGGTGGACTTTGTATGTCTTAATCTCCAAGGAATTAACTGGCTCTCAATTTCCAGTCAAGGTGTGTTTGCAGGGGTGGGGGGGGTGGTTAGGCAAAAGAGCTCCAGGTCAATCTCACTGCAGAGTGTTTTTCTTTCCTGCCGGCTAGACTTGGGCTGAAACGTGACTTGTTCAGAACGGAGAGCTGTGTGCGGTGAGCACCAGTACACTCACCGGAGAGGACAGGTCATTTCCTACTGCAGTCTGACAGGGTGCCAAGGGGCCCTTCCCACCCCAGAAAGACAAAAGAAAGCAGCAGCCACAAAAGGAACTCCGGACGCCAGCAGTGTCCTATAGAGGACTATGGACCTGGAGAGCCACCATATCCACTGTTATAAAACAAGAAATGGGCCTTAAATAACAACCAAAGTCAACTGAAGCAGTTCCTGGAGGAAGGAAATCCCCAAAAGGCCAGAGAGGAGAGATCGACCCCTTACTTAGGGAATGAGGAGAACACAACTATTACGGAGTGAGGCCCGACCTCCAGACACAGATGCGGGGGTGGTGGGGAGGGGGCTTCCAGGTGCACCAGGCTGGGGGGGGGCGGTGACAGGGTCCGACCAGTGCCCATCAGTAAGCCGCCGGAGCACAGCCCGCAGGACTCAGGGAGGGCGGCTCCCGTCCCTGTCCGTGGTGCTGACCCACAGCCGCTCTCCAGGCAAAGGCCGGAGAACGGAGACTGCTCTCCACCCCACCCCCCGCCCCGCCCCCCAAGAGAGGAAAGTGGTGGGAAAGGGAGATGAGGGACAAACGAAGGTGGGCAGATAAACAGAGACTCTTGGAGAGGTGGCCGGGAAGAAGGGAGCCTTGGACGCCATTTGCAAACCATGGATTTATGAAGCACTCCCGCCTTTTGGGAGGTTGCAGGGGTGAGGGGCGTGCGTGTGCCCCCCACGTCCACATCTGGCCAGCACTGCGCACGCACCCTTAGCAAACTGAGCTCCAGGGCCCCTCAGCAATCACAGGCGGCCCCCACGAACTGCCTGAGCATCCTCACCAGTGGGCATCTCCCAGGTAAGGTTGGCACAAAGTTTATGGCAACTCCAGGCATGGCGGGTGGCCAGCCAGGCATTTCTGGGATGTGTGCTGCGGCCTCGGGCTTCACAGGTGGGAAAGGCTGGTGCTGAGGATTTCCAAAGAGGACAGAGTAGAGACAGCAAGGGGAGAAAAGGCAAGGGAAACCTTACACATCCTTACCTAGGATCTAGCACTTCTGTCCAGAGTCCCCCAGGTCTGGTGGGGACCGGGGGAGCTCCCCTCCAGAGAAGAGCTTTCAGCAACACCCTGCCTTCCTTCATTTGGCCCTAAAAAGAGCACTTGGTCAGGGGAGCTCAGCGGGGGCTGGTAGAGGAAGAGGCGAGAAGAAACACAAGAATCCTCGCTTAGGTACGTGTTCCGAGGCCGATGTGGACAGGCTCCGCGCCTGCAGCTCGGGTGGCGTTCAGACGCGGCTCTGGAGAAAAAGATGCGCAGGGTGGGAAAGGCACTGCCGTTTGGGCTGCGGCGTATGAGCCCTTGAGGTCAAGGGACAAAGGTCGCTCCACAGAAATCAGAGCTGGGGAAGAAGAGAAACCGGGAGCAGATGCGCAAACCGCTGGAGTTTTGAAGACGCCTGGACAGGGTCAGGTAACCTGAGATGATCGGATACTTCCGGCAAAGCGGCCCCACCTCTCTCCTCCCGCTCTTCACCGTGAAAACATACATACATAGCAAACTTCAAGGGGGGATTGGCTGATTATTGCTCTGTCACCTTCTAAAGCAAACAGAGATGACACTCGACACGAGAGGGCCACTGTGCATGGAGCCCTGCTGGAAGGCTACCTGTAAGGGTGGGTGTGTTTAAACGTCAGAGCTGCTGATCCTTCCAGAGAGATGGAACTGGCCAGAGAAGTCATGGAACACCCCCTCCCCCCGCCTCAGAGAACTGCCTTGCACGCAACTCGAGCAGGAGACCAAAGTCCTCTTGAACAAGACCTGCCCTGGGGTGGGGGGAAGAGGTGCTTTTGCGACTCCGGTGTTGTCCAGAACCCTGGGAGATGATCCAGCCCGACACCCACGTACCCGGAGCTGCGGCTGCGTGGGCAGACGCACGTTTTTTACGTAAGCCCCCAACCACCAGCGTGGGTGTTTCTGGGCGGCCTGGCTTCTCTCCCAGGCCGAGGTGCTGTCCAGGGAGATGAGTGGGCACTGAGGAGGGCAGGCCTTTCCGCCCCGGGTTTGGGGGCACCTGCCAGGAGCGGTGCGGTGTGGCGCCCTGGACCACCAGAAGGGCCCTGGCAGGGAACCATTGTGCGGGCAGGAACGGCAGCAGCGTGGCCTCGTCTTGGGGGTTGTGACAGTTAAGGCTTCTGTTCATTAACGTGGCAGTGACCCTGTCTGGAGAGGACGGGAGAGTCTCGTCAGGAGGAGACAGGTGGCCCAGTGTCTCTACCACCAAGCCTTCGAACCTTCTGTGGCACTCCCCAGCTGGCCGCCCACTGGCCACGTGCTGGGAAGGACGGTGTGGGCTTTTTGTTGCTGCTGGTTTGTCTTCTGAGGGGTGGGGTGAGGGGGGGTGAGGAAGGTGGCGGGCGCTGGAGGCCATGGGACGAGTGTGATGTCTAGAGACCGGCCGGGCTCCAGCCTCAGCGTCCTCAAATGGATTACGGAGGCTTGACCGCGAAACCGCACACAGCCCTGGACACAGGGTGAACGCAGGCTCCGACCCCTTATCCAGAACCGTCCGGCACAGATTTACTGCAGGAGTTAGAGCTCTCTTGGAGCTGGTGATGCACGAATATGTACACCTATACACGGATGTGAGTATCATGGAGCTGGCGATGCCCCCATGACCAAGCACAGCATGTGCCCGCAGTGTGACGCACGCGTGTTCCTGTCGAGTGGGGGGAACGATCTAAACAGCACGGACTCCTCGCAGTCCAGGTTTTGTCACCACATGAGGGAGGAAAGCTCGCTGTCTGTCTGGATTCCAGGTTTGTGGGTAAGGGGTGGGGTCTCCGGCACAGCTCACGTCAGAGCCCAGGCTTGGACCCAGTGTGGACGGGGTGCTCCCCGCCCAGGCCTCGCAGGAAGCACGTGCAGGGCCACTGCAGCGAGCCCTCGGGACCACCGGGCCCCCTGGGTGCTGCTACCCTCTCCACAGATGGGAAAACTGAGGGGCAAGATGCTCAGTGGTCCGGGCCCTATACCAGGGCATGTCTGATCATTGGCTTTTTAAACCTTTCTTTCCCAAACTGTCCCCTAGTTATGTAGGTAGAATATAAATGCAGAGACTGGGCGCCTCGCAGACTGCGCTGACCTTGGATGTGCTGTCCTCTCTATAAAAGGGGACAGAGATGCAGTGAGAAGGGCCTGCCAGGGCCCCGGCTGCCTGGCACCTTGCCCCTGCCACCCAGGTGGCTCAGTGGTGTCTTCATCCCTAAGAGGGAGCGGATTGTTGCCACACTCTGTCCAGGAACCCCCGACACCCAGGCCCACGGTCTTCCTTCCCTGTCCTGGGGTACGCCATCCCAAGTCTCTGAACCTTGGCCGTCCATAACTCCTTGAATTGTGGGCTCTGCCCAGGTCACCCCACCAGGGCCCCTTCATACCTGGTCAAGCCTGATTCTCATACAGGCTTTGCCTCTTCTTGGATTTCAGCTCCTTTAGCCACTGGGGTGAGGGCTCTTCAGACCTGAAACCACACAGCAGTGAGAGTGAGGTGTGAGCGAGACTGACTGCACCTTGCAGGCAGGGCTGGGGGGCACTGAGCTCTCCCCCTGCTGTGCCAAGGCAGATGCTGAGCACGCACAGAAGACGGACGAGCCCATGCCGGCGTGACTGAGGAGCATCCCGCAATGGGATGTTAAACAAACCCTAGCACGTCCACTCTGTGACATAATCTGCGGCTCTAAAGTCACGCTCACATAAAATTATTTCTATCCATCCACCCCTCCATCTCTCCACCCGTGGGAACACCTGCAGCAGTTAACGCTGTGTGTCGGCCGGGCCGGGCCAGCTATGGGGCCAGACGTCACTCTAGGTGTGTCTGTGCAGCTCTGTTCTTTTTAGATGATTAGCATTTAAACATGGAGACTCCGAGTCAAGCAGATGACCCTCCACAGCACGGTGGGCCCTGTCCAATGGGTTGGAGCCTTAACAGAAAAAGACCGACCTCCCCGAAGAAGAGGGGATTGGGCCACTGACCGGCTCTGAGACCCCGACTGCGACATCAGATCCTCCCAGGTCTCCATCCGGCCTGTGGCCTGCTCTGCACGTCTTGGACTTGCCCGAGTCCAAACTCCCGAGAGACAATTCCTCAATATAACTCTCTCTCTCCCCTCACCCCCAAGAAGTGCGCCCTGAACCTGGGAGTGGAGGGGCCCTCGTCCCTAAGGACCCCTCACCTCTCATCCTTGTCGACACTGGTGGGCAGCACACGACTGCCCAGCTGGAAGGGGGACTTGGGGGTCTTGGACTGCGGGGCCCAGCCGGGCGACTCGCTGGGACTGTCCACCTCTGGCCTCTTCTGCAGCTGAGCCTGGGGAGGGAAGAGAGCCGAGTCTGTGACCACTTGTAGGATGGGGAAGGGCCCCGGTCCCGTGACACTGTCACTGCGTGTTGACATGTGGCCTCCGCAGGCAGGAAACACAGGGGAAGGGGGGACACCCCCTGACCTGGGAGGGTAAGAAAAGTCAAAGATCAGCCTAGCTGCCCAGCAGCCAGCCCTGACCACTCGGTGCATCGAAGAGCCAGCACTGAAAGTCCACAGAAATTGTCCGTGGCTGAACAGCAACCGTGTGTAGTGTCCTCGGCACGGACAGTCCACCTCCTTTAGCTTCTGAGAGCCACGAGGAGGAGACACTGGCAGGAGAGGCTCGCCTCCGTTCAGCCCCTCACTACTTGTATCCATTGGAACAAAATGCAGTTTTTATGATCCGATTCCCACAGGAAAAGGGCAGGGTGGGTTTCCACCCATCGGCGGAGGGCCTGCTGGGAACGGAATGACTTAGAATGGCATCCGCAGAGTCCCCTTGGGGGACCATGTGTGTGTGATGGTGGCGGGCGGCCTTTGTCCCTGACTCGTGGGGGGACAGTCCCAGCGACAGTGGTCACCCCCCCATCCTCCTGACAGCTCTGTGCACGGAGCACCCAGCGTTTGGACGCTGCCAGGCATGAGTTACACAACACAGGTTTCTCCATTTTACGGGGAGAAGCCCAAAGGCCAAAGGTCGAGCGAGCACTTTGCCCAAAGCCTCACAGTTCTCAAGAACTGGGGTGGCCCCTAGTCTTCCCACCTCTGACTTCAGGGCACTTTCCAGAAGGAGCCAGGCAGCCTCCTCCGACTGCTGACAAATGCTCAGTGTCGCTCTTGGCCGAGGGCCACCAGGGCAGAGGGGGCTGCTGGTGCCCAGGGAACCTGTGTCAGCGTGAATGGCAAGCGCCCTGTCCTCACAGAGCGTGGGGGCGCCGGCCTGTGTTCAGGGGCCTTGGGAGCTCCTCAGGGCACCCACACGGGCGCCCCCTCCTGTGGGCAGGGCCTCCCGCTGCCTCGTGAGATCATTTGTCCCCACGCTTAAAAAAAAAATAAAGCCAGAAAGCTGCTGGCCGACGACAGTGGCTGTGTGACCTTCACGTGTCGAGGCCTGTAAAGCTGATTACAGGGATAAGCGTGCGTCTCTGCTGCTTGCTGGCTTTCTGCTGTTGCGAGAAATGCCACGGAAAGCAGAACTCGTGTGCACTAAAGGAGCAGCACACCCACAGCCCCGCCAGGGGGCTTCCTGGCCGGCACCGAGTGCGAGGCGAGAAACCCGGCAGACAGCCCGGCCACCTTCACCTCCACTTCCTCTCCAGTAAAACGGGAGGAAGCAGCTGCCTGTGCGGCGTCGCTCGGGGCAGGGGGTGAGCATGCAAGTGCTCGGTCCAAACGGGGGCAAAAGGGCCCCTCCCTCACCCAAATTAGCACCTCTGCTCCCAGGACTGTGAGAGATGACTGGTGGATCTGGGGAGGGGCGGCGGGGGGCCGCCCTGCCTGGCCCCGGGACTCCACGGTCCAGCTGGGATTCCAGACTGGAGTGTGGCTCCAGGGCAGACTCCCCACATCCTTTAGAATGGGAATGGTCGCTTCACATGGGTACCGTCCCCAGCAGACTAGACTCAAGGACCTCGGGCTGCATTTATTCCCTCCTGTTCCACTGACACCCAGCACCGGGCCGGTGCCTACAGTGAATGATCAGCCCCTTTACAGATGAGGACGTCAGAGCTCAGCTAGAAGGCCTAACTGAGCAGCAGGCTTGGGGACAGGAAGAAACACAGGGCCGCCGGCGAAAGGCACAGAAGTCCGGCTCCCAGCCCCGAGCCAAGGCCAGTGTCCTGGGTTTGATAACACACCGTGGTGTCGTGCGCAGTGTCAGTACGGGGACAAGCAGGGCGAGGGGATCTGGACTAGTTTCACAACTGCTTGTGAGTCAAACTACTTCGAAAATGAGGGAGGGACGGAGGAAGGAAGGGAGTGAGTAGGGAAGGAAGGAGGGAGAGCAAGAGCCAGGGGCGCGGGGCCTGCCCTTTCTGTCCTCTTGGCTGCCGGGTCGAGAGGCGCTCTGGGCGTGTGGCTGGTACCTTCAGCGCTGCCGGGTCTACGCCTGGAAACACCGGCATCCTCTGGGGGTGGCTGACGGGGGTCCTCTCGGTCCTGGGTGGCTGCTCCTCGTCATCGGACTCTTCTCTCCTGGGGGATTTCTCTTCTGTTGCAAGGAAAAGGGCACCAAGGTCACTGGCAGCCACCGGGTATGGAGGCGAGGGTCCCAGATCCTTTGCGCACGGACCCCCACGTGGTCCCCACAGTGGCCCTGACAGAGGCGTGGCTGGGACATTTTACAGGTGAGAACGGACTCGGGGGCTCGCTTTCTTCGGCACAGCTCTGGCCCAAAGATGGAGACAGAAAGGCAGAACGGACGGACTTCCTGCTGGGACTGGGCGCAGGCAGCCGGGGCTCCTGGCTCATCCCCCGTCAGGGAACTGGAAGGGCCTCTCCGGTGGAGGCAGGGAGGGAGGCAGACGTGCCTTAGGCGGCTGGTGCACAGGGCCAAGCTCTGGGGGAGAGTGGGGAGGGGTCTTCTGTCTATGGAAGGGCTGCCAGGAGTCGGACCGGGAAGCCACCTGCCTTCACCCCAAGGCCCCCTTTCTGGGACCGAACCCCACTGTCACGCTCCACCTCGCAGGCGGGACTTCTCGGAGACGGTCAGCAGGTCCCCGCTCACCGCTCATCTGGGAGCGAGGGTGAGGTGTCCCACCCTCCTGGGAACAGGATACGGGACTGGGCACAGTGAGGAGCGGGGGGCAGGGGGCGAGGCCCCGGAGCCCCAGGCCAAGCAGGAAACTGGGGTGTGTTCAGAAAGTGCACCCCAGGCCTTCCCCAGCACCTGGCCCGTTCCTTGAGGCTTCGAGGAACCAGGAGGCTGCTGCCACATCCTAGTGGTGGGGTGGGGGGTTGGTAATCTTATACTTTTAGGGGTGACTGTGTACTTTTGTCACCACTGTGGTCTTTACTTGCTCCAGACACCTTGTGCAATTTGACTCAGAAAAACCAGGACAGTGCGCAGAGAGAGATCTTACTCAAGGCGTTCAAACATTTCGTTGAGTAACAGAAGGGAGACTGGAAAGGGAGAGAGAACTCTCAGAGCCTTTAGGTGTCTGGTCAAAAGCCACGCCCCTCAGAAGCCACACCCCTCACTTGGCTCAGAGCCTGGTCTGACTGCGTGTGGTTCGCCCTGAGCATCGCAAGTAAACAAAGTCCCTGCAGCAGCTTTTGGGGGACTACAGACCATGTGTGGAGTGCGGGGCGGGGGAGGTCACCTGCTAAGGTTTCCATTACAAGAAAAGATTTTGCTTCTTAAAACTCTTCCGTGAATCTCTATCTACAGATAATGTCTAGCTCCGACGCAACAGGGCTTCCCAGGAGCTGGCCCCGCCTACTTTCCCAGCGCAGCTCCTGCCAGAACCACAGAGAGAGGCCCGAACCTGGGAGTGAGGCCGTACCACACACACACAGAAAGTTCTTTCCACACCTCTGCCCTTCCATCTGTTAACATGGTGCCGGGACTACCCCTTCCCTGGCCAACGTCTACCTGCCCTTTAAAATTCAGCTCAAGATCTGATACAAAATGCAGTCAAAGAAATCCTTAGAGGAAAATGTGTAGCTGTCAATACTTCATTAGAAAGCAAACAAGACAAAGAATACAGAAGCGGATCTTTTGGCTCGAGAGTCTAGAAAAAGACCAGCAAACAAACCTGAGCAGCATGCAGGATGGATTTAGTAAGGATAAGAGCAGAAATCGGGAAACCCTATTAAATTGTGGCTTTGTCCTTTGCAAACTGCAAAGCTCCAATTAATATATCATTCCTCAAAAAGAATTTTTTTACTTAGTTTCTAATGAGCTGTGTAGAATAAGAGATCACAGTTTCCTGGGTAATTATGTTCTAATCCCCTACAGCCTTCAAGCCAGAAAGGCCTTCCAGTGCTTAACCCCCACCCTTCCCGCTGTTCACTAAGGCGCCGTGGAGGCCCCTCCAGGGCCGTACCTGTCGAGTCCTTGAACATCCACGTGCTGTCGGCCTCCTCTTCCAGCGGAGACCTGCTCTCCGACTCGCTCAGCCGGCTGCGCCGGAGCGAGTGCGAGATGGGAGCCCGGCGGCGGCTTCTCTTGCTGAGCTGCACCCGGGTCTTCAGGGCACTTGAGTCGAGGACTGAAGTTTGCTTTGGGAGCAGCAGGAGGAAGAGGGAAAAAAAGTGAGGGACCGTTCACTGAGGATGCCACTCGGGAGAGAGGCGTGGGTAGCTTCGCTGACACACAGGATCCTATTTAGGGGGCACGTGGGCCGGCGCGTCTGCATTTTAACAGTAACCTAACATCCCCAGCCACACTTTCTCCATGAAACATACTACGGAGGGTGATGACTGAAGCCCTGCCCCTGGCACGCAGCGGGCACACAATGGGACTGTCTTTCCCTCCTGGTGGCATCACACGAGCCCATAGGCTAGAGCAATGCTCAGTACGTGGCAGGAGTGCCACAGACCTTTGTTGAGTGGATAAGTGAACACAGCACCTGATTCAAGCCTCATCACCCACACCCCGTCCATGTTTATACCATGGGATGAACCCGGATTCCCCCATCTCTGTCCTTACTCAGAGGTGCCCTGACCATACTTAAGAAGGGAAGTCCCTTGGGGGCCCTGGAGGAAGCCCTGTTCCCAAAGCAGTGGTGACCTTCCTCTTGGGGGAAGCTGCGTGGCTGTCCCTAAGAGTACGGGCTTGAGGCTTTACTGCCAGGAGGGCAGTCCCTGTAGCTTCTGCGGCATTTAGGGGATGCACCTTCAGGAGGGTGGGAGGGCGGCCCTCTTGTCAGGGAAGGAGAGTAATGGGACCTCTGTGTCTCAACAACTGACAAGGGAAATCTGCCTGGTCCCTGCGCGTGGGGCTCCTCGGTGCGGGGAGGGGAGGGAAGAAGATGCGTGCGGGTCTGGAAGGGGCTGGAAAGGAAGGCAGTAGGACTCGGCAGCTGGCATCCTGGAGGGTGCCTCTGCTGGAAACCTGGAAAAGTTGAGTCCTCAGGGCTGTCCCTGGGGACCACACCCCGGGGACCCGTAGTCCCTGGGCTACGCACCCCTGGGGGGTCTCCCCTTCTTAGAACCACTACCGCCAACTTACAGAGAGGCCTGGGTGCCCTGGCACTGGGGGCACCTCTCACTAAGCAAGGCCGCTGTGAGAACACCCAGCAGGGGCGGTGTCGCACTTCCTGCTCACCTAGTAGCTGTGGGCTAGGACCAGGTTACACTTGAACCCACGGGGTTGTATTTGAGGCTGCAGAGCCCAGTGCGTTGGTTGGGAGTGGGCGAGAAGGCTGAGGGTCAGGAACGTGAAAGCATTTGCCCCCGGGACACACAGCAGGCGTGTGGCAGGTGCAAGCCACATGCAGACAACAGTCCCACCTCAGACTGTGTGCCCTCTGTGCCCACCGGAGGGTGCCCGGCACACTCATGCTGCCCCTGAAAGGGGCGGTGCGCCAGGAGGGGCTAGAGCACCCCTTTAAGAGGAAACGACCGTCTCCGGCACAGGCTCCCGGTGACCAACGTACATCGATGAAGGAGAAGTCGTCCACGGTCCTCGCAGAGCCGGTGTCCGGAGCGGGCGGCCCCTCCGTCCCGTCGGTGGACTCGAGGTCAGTGCTGGAGCGGTCCACGCTGGTGCTCCGCCGGTCCCGGGAGCAGTCCTGCTGGTCCCCGGTGGAGGTGGCCTCCGTGTGGGAAGACAGTGAGGACAAGCGGCTGCTGGAGGGCTGCTTCCGAGCTGAGGCGGCGCTGCTGTCCGGGGAAGGGGACTCGGGCCCCAGGCTGGGAGGAGGGAAGGAAGGGAGGGCGCCCCGTCAGGCAGGCTGCTTCGGAGCCCGGAGTGTGTCGAGAGCAGGAGGCGGCGGGAGAAGACGGGGGCATGGGCGATGCTCTACACTCCAGGGAACAAGATGGGACTCCCCAGTGGGGGAACGTTTGGGGGGAACGTTTTGGGTGCACAGCCAGGCGCTGCACACCTGCCCCCAGAACACTGGGACCGGTGTGGACGGGAGAGTTAACCTCAGGAAGTTAAATGTTACCCTCGCTAAAGACGAGGAAACGTGTGAGGTAGCTTCCCCAAACCGGAAGAGCCGGCTCTAGAATCCACGTCCTCCACCTTCTCACCCTTCTGGAATCTCTCCCCCTGACAATAGACTCACGTGCCCCTTGGGTAACGGGAATCACATAAAATAGAAAACTTGTGAATAAATCGGGCCATTACATTGAAGAGGCTCTCCCTGCCCATAAAAAAGACCGACCCCCAGTCAAGAGCACAGGAAAGCCTTACCCTGAAGAAGGGTGTGTGGGCGCACCAGCCACCACCTCCCTCATGGGCGGGTCTGTCCTAAAAGACGCCTCCACCCCTGCTGCACCCTCAAGCAGAACCCCCGACCCAGGGGTGCTGGTGCTTTTGTCAGCTCTGGGATGATCGGATCACTGGAAACAGGGAGGGCTTTCCCGAGTGGGGTGGGATGGAGCCAAATCCACAAAAAAGAAATACCATCGAGGTGGCAGCAGATGGCGCTGCTGCCTAGGGCTGGGAGCAGAGCGGCTCCCTGGATGGTCGGGCAGGGGGCGCTGCAGTGCCTCTGGGAGACAGGAGGGGGAGCCTTCCGACCCCCCCACCCCTGGGGGGATCCCAGGCCCCAGGAAGGGCTGGGGGATGGGAGACCCAGGGAGAGAACAGGGCGGCCTACCCCACAGCCGGAGGGGGTGGAGCTGGGATTCCAGACCCGCCTGCCTCCTGAACCCGGGCTGCCCTCCACAGCCCCACGGGGCCGTTAACACTGAAGGCAGACGTGGCCTGGGTTCCAACACTTACAAACCCACCCAGAGGGACACCGAGCAGAGTCTAGAAAGGCAGAAACTATTAATGAAGGTTATGTCTGTGTGCTGAGGTGACTGGTAGGTTTCGTGTTCTCTGAGGTATTTTTAATGTGGCAAAACACACGAGACATGAAATTTACCGTTAGTGAGACAGCACGTTTTTACAATGCTGGGCACCTGTCACCACTGCGTGGGTCGAGAGTGCTTCTGCCACCCCAGAAGGGACCCCGGCGTCTGCTCAGTGGTCACTCCCCACTGGCCCTGCGCTCCGGCCCCTGGCAGCCGGAGCCTCTGCTTTCTGCCTCTGTGGGTGTGCCTGTGCCGGGTAGTTCACGTATCATTTAGTATTATTTTTCAATACTTCATCAATTTCCTCTTTACAACAAGAATGGTTTACTCCTGCAATTACAGACGAAGCAAGCTCCAGGAATACAGAACACTGGCCCAGACGCCCCGCCCTGCAGCCAGGAGCCCCGCTCGCCCCGCCTACCTCTCCCCACTCTGGTGCTGGTCCGTCCATGTCCCATACTGGCTGTCGGCTTCCTGCACGAGGGTGTCAGTGTCCTTGGCCTCGGGGGGCCGCCTGGTGAAACATTGTTTCAGCTGATCCTGAAAGGGCAAACCAGACAAGAGGTTACTCTTGGGGAAACGCTTAGAACCTGGTTCCAGCTGATGTGGGCAGAAATGCATCACCCCCACCCCTGCTTTGAGCTGCCCGAGCTCCCACCTGCCTTCAGGGGCCAGTCCAGATGTCCCCGCTGGGCACTAGCATGACCAACCGTCTGGGTTTGCCCAAGATGTCACAGGACGCAGGGGTGTCGGTGCTGAAGCCAGGCAAACTGGGACAAAGGGGTCCCCTCGCCAGCCCGCAGGGTCCTGCTGGCCAGCCCCTGACCCTCCTCAGTGCCCAGCTCCACCTTGCACTGCAGGCAGGCCGAACCTCTCTCCACCTTGAATGCTCCCAGCACTTATCAGTCTGGCAGCCCCCATGTGCACCCCACGCCAGGTTCCCACAGCTGCCATGCTTCCCCCATAAGGACCAGCCAGCATGGTGTCTGCGGAGCATTTAACTTGTGCCAGGGTCCACCAAGCTGTTTACATATCGCCTTGCGCCTTGCGGAACTATACAGTCCCCCGGAAATCCCACAAGGCGGAGCTTATCACAATCCCCATTTTTATGGATGAGAACATTGAAGCTTTAGGAGGAGAACTGATACCTCCCAAATCAAAGAGCCAGCAAGTGGCGAAGTGGAACTCAAACCCGGGTTGGGTGCTTGGACCCACAAGTCCAAACTGGTAACCCCTGGGCCCCGCGTGGCCTGGATCCCTCAGAGAGAGTGCTGGTTGCCCCTGAAGCAGCTATAGGACCCAGCCCAGTGCCTGGCAGAGGGCAGGGAGCCCGAACGCCTCCGTTAGATTGAATGAACTGCCGTCTTCTCAACCTCTCTGCGTGGGAGAAGGCGGAGCACTCAGGTAAAACCAAACTCCAACCCCCTGGGCGGCCACTGGCACAGGGACAATTCAAACGGCCCCAGTTCCCCTGCTGTGAAGGATGCTCCCAGAGACCAGCTTTTGAAGACTTGAGGCCAGCAGGTGAGGAACGCGGACAGAGTCGGGGCAGGGGATGAGGGCAACCTTGGCCCCAGCCCCAGGAAGACCGGGAGGGAGTGTGCCGCTTTCATGCCTCAACTGAGGGCAGTGGGCGTGGCCTGCATACCAGAGCACTCACCCCTCCCCATCCTCTAAAGACAAATAAATACACAAATAAATAAAATCTTTTTAAAAAGGAAAGAAAAGATGTACACGAGGATGGGGCTCAGAGCAACCCCGTCGGCCCCTCCCAGAGCATGGCCACGCCCACAGGCCACGCCCATCCAACTCTGATCCCTATCGACGCTCTTTCCGATTCTCATTAGCAAAATAACACGTGTCCGCTGCGAAACACCGAGGGAATATAGAAAGCCCCAGGGATAACATTTTAAGATGACCCGCCACCCAGGGACGACATTCCAGCACAGGCCTGTCCACAACTTCCCGTGGGTCAGCCCACCCGCACCATCTTCAGTGGCGGAAGGACATCCCACCGGACGTATGGCGGCATCGTTCATTTAACCACCCCCGAGCATCGGCGCATTCGGGTGGCTGGTGTGTGTCACTGTCACCATCAACCATATGAAAATCGCCCCGGCTCAGGGGTCCTTCCCGCAGGAGAAACCATAGGTACAGAACCGCCAGGCCAAAGGGACAGTTTCAGGCTCAGGCTCCTGGGGAGAGAGCCGAGCCCAGGGGCAGCGCGTGGGGGGCTGTGAGCGCGGTTCAGAGAGGAAGTCCGGCCCCCTGGGGGAACTCGGAGGCTCCTGTTTCCAAAGGTCACCTGACTTTCTCGTATGACCAGCACCCTTGACTGTATTCTCCCTGCGACCCTGGAATGGGTGTGGTCCTCTGAGTGAGCTGCCCGTGCAGCCCATTTTCAAAGAAGTGACAGAATCAGCCTCACTTAATCCCTGCGTGGGTCGGGTCCAGAGGCAGCTGGGGGTCTCGGGGGCTGCTCCTGGGAGGACGGAGGTCGGATGTCGTTGCCTAGGGCAGGGTGCAGACGGTCCAAGTCGGAGGCTGGGCCTGGGCCCCATGTGTTTTCTGACCTCAGCAGAAGGCCAGAGGGGTGACTGCATGGGGGACAGCTCACAGCGCAGGGCGGGGGGCCTGCTGTCTCGACTCCACCCCAGCAGTGAGTCCTGGGCGAGTGACTGCACCCACCCAAGCCTCAGCTTCCTCAGTGGAAACAGAAGGGTTGTTCTGAGGCTTCACGAATAACCTCTGGGAAGAGCCTGGAGCACAGCGGGTGCTTGGGAGAAGGGACCATTTTCATGACCCACCCCAGAATCAGGTCGGGGGGAGCGGTGGACCCTTAGCAAAGAGCAATTCTTCTCGGGTTCTCAAAACTCCCAAAAGACAGAGGCAGGGGTTTGCAGGTGGGGCCTCCAGGAATCAGAGCGACAAGTTCTGTAGGTGCTGAGGAGGCACCAGGGCAGGGGACAGGCGCTGGCTTCCTGCCTGCCTCTGGGTGGCCCTGGGGACGGCGGGTCAATAGCTGGGTCCTCAGCTCTGCTCCGTTCCAGGTTGCAGGCCTCCAAAGAGGGAGCTGGAGTCCCGGCGCAGGGGTCCCGGCGCAGGGGTGGGTGTCTCCTCCCTCCGCTGCCTACACCAGACGCCAGACTTGGGATCAGAGGGGAGCATCCCTGGCTCCTCTGTCACCCTCACCCTTGTGCCCCAGTCCTGCAAAGTTTCCTTCCAGAACATTCCATCCAGCCTCCCTCATCTCCAGCCCCATCGCATATATTTTCTGCACGTTACACTTTCCAAAACCGAAACCTGAGCCTGTGGGGTCCTTCAGGGTAAAGCTCCAAATACCTGAAAGACGGCCTGTGGGACCTTCATTAGTGGGGTGCCTTCAATGCCCCTCCCCCAGGGTCCCCTGTCCTTTGTCTGGCCCCAGCCCCTGTTAGACCCTCCCATTAGCTGCTCCAGCCTTTCCTCCCTTCATATTCCTCAGTCCATTCTCCTGTACCTGTGGTCCTGCTGAGCAGCCCCACTTCCTGGCTGCGGTTCCGATTTCAGCTTTGATGGCTCTTCCTCCAGGAAGCCGTCCCTGAACTCTCCCCCAGCTAAGTCCGGCTCAGCCCCTCCCCCACTCCCATCCCTACCCTGTCTCCTAGGCCTCAAATCTCTATATCCGTGCTGTCCAATATGGTAGCAGCTAGCCACGTGTGGCTATTTAAATTTAGTTTAAATTAATATTAAAATGTTAAAATACTAAGCCCTGGCTGGTGTGGCTCAGTGGACTGAGTACCAGTCTGTGAACCAAAGTGTCACTGGTTCGATTCCCGGGCAGGGCACATGCCTGGGTTGCAGGCCAGGTCCCCAATGGGGGGCATGAGAGAGGCAACCACCCATTGATATTTCTCTCCCTTTCTCTTTCCTTTCCCCTCTCTCTAAAAATAAATAAATCAATTTTAAAAACTGTTCAAACACTAAGATTCAGTTCCTCAGTGGCAGAAGCTTCATTGCAAAGGCCACACGTGGCCACCGCACTGAACAGCACACACACAGAACCTTGTCTGAGCTACGGGAAGCCCTGCGGGACTGCTCTGCCATGGCCCTTCCCACGTCGTCACAATGGTAACCGACTAGTGTCTTTCTAGTCCGCCCCGGGGTGGGTACCGCTTCTGGGGCCACAACGCTTGCACCGGAGTCCAGGCTCTGGCACACGCGGCTGTGTGAGCTTGGGAAAGTTACTTAACGTCTCTGTGCCTCAGTGTCTAGACAAAGCAGGTGTGAAGGCTTTCGGTGATGCCATCTCGGTCACTACTCCTGCCCACAGACTCCCAGTTTGAAGGGATTCGGGGGTCAGGATAACCTAAGGGAATTCGCCTTGTACACGAGGTGAAGGAAGCAGGCTGCTTCTCAGTCCCTTCCCCAGTCAGTGTCCGGGTCACCTGTGTGGACTGCAAATCAGTCACGCCCCCTCACGCTGGCAGACCCCGACCGCGCTGCCCAGAAGCAAGGCTTGGGCTTTGCGCCCAGGGCTACAACACCTCGAGACCGAACACGCAAAAAGGCCAGAAACTCTTCTAAAAGCTTCCTAAAGGTCATATTTTTAAAATTTGCTTTATAGCACGTTCTTCCAATTCGGCCTCGCCTCACAGGCTACAAAAGCCCTCACTGTCTGTAGGCCAGTGGATGCCCACACGGGGTTCACCCGTGTCTGAGAACATGGGTGAACTGAGCCGCCGTGGGGGCACATGTGTCCAGACGGTCCCCGTCTGGGCCGTGTGCTGGCCTCTCTTGACGTGCATTTTACTGGACGTCCCCAATCTGCGTTTCAGCTGACACTGTCCCGGAGGGACAGTCACCACATCTGATCACTCGGGTCTATGAGGCCCTTGGAGGCCTCCCTTTCCAGGTGAGAAACTGAGGCACAGAAACAGGAAGTGCTGTGCAGCTCTCGCAGGTGAGTGGCAGGCAGTGCTGGGGGGCCTGGGACCCAGGTTTTGGGGCTCCTGTCTCAGCACTGCTCCCAGACACCCAACAGCCACCTGCCCACACTTCATTCAGGAAGGTTTAAGAGGCTCGGGTGAGGCAATGCTCTTAAACACCTCAAGAACTTTGCGGGTTTAAGAACCACTTGCGAGGACCAGTTTGCTGAGCCGGGAGCCACAGCGGAGGGAAACTCCGGGCCCCTGTCTGGCCGGCGAACAGGGCCGCCCCAGCCCAGAACTGTGACAGCTCTGTAGCACCCAGCCCGGGAGACCAGGCTACCAGACGCCGTGTTTCAACAAGCCATGACTCGTCCCGAAATTTAAAGCATGCATACCCTCGACTCAGCAGTTTTCATCCCAAAGTTTATCTCAAGAAAATCATTAGACCCACTTGCCAAGATCTACAAACATGGACGCTCCCTGCTGTGCTGGTTCCCATGGCAAAATACAGGACATGACCGTGACCGAAAGGTCCAGGAGGTGGGCACTGGGGAAATACAACGTGGTACAGTCACGCAATGGGATGAACACAGCCCAGGGACACAGTGTTCCCAGAGAGCACCGACTGTC